TCAAGCTGTTTTATTCATTTTAGTCTTTCGACTGCAGCCCACTCTCAAATATGTTTTTAAAGGAACTTAAGCAACAAACGTATAATTTTCCCAAAGCAGTTGCAAATTATAAGAGCTGATTAAACAAACTAATACAGTGAAAAAGCACTCCACACACTAAAAATTCTTTACTTAATTCTGTGCAGGATTTCACTGCTTTCTAACAAGATTTCATTTTAAACACCACTTTTTCAGGATGCATGAAATTACTCAGAATTTCATCATCGATTATGTGTCGCAGAACTTTTTTTGGACTACACCTTTTTTAAAAGATTTTTTTAAAAGACTGTGAAGAGTCTTTACTGGCTTTCAAAGTTTATGTGTCAGAGGGTGACATCTGGCAGGTACTGATCCTTAAAAAAAAAAAAAAGAGCTGAAGCTCCAAATTTTTTGAGCATCAGATAAATGTGGACTATAATCCGATGTAAAAAGTGCCATAAAATATGTCAAATGGTAGGAATTTAACCATCTGAAACACAAAACCTGGCTGTTTTTGGCTGTCTAGGCCTTCGACTTGATTTCTATCGGACACGCGACACCTGTGCCTCCCAGGCCACAGTATCCATCGGGGTTTTTGCTCAGGTACTGTTGATGGTACTCCTCAGCATAGTAGAACTGCTTGGCCTCAGCAATTTCTGTGGTGATGGAATCGTGACCTGCCTGTGTTAGTACCTAAAAGACAGAGGAAAAAAGAAAAGAATAGAAAAAAAATCACAAATTACTGGACAGGTCATTATGAAATGAAAAACGTGAATATATGAGCAGTCCAAGGCTAATCCACATCCTGCACAAACTGATGGATCCAAATCAGTTTGTGATCGTTTCTTGAAAACAGCAAAGTGATCTCTGCCGGTTTTCTTTCTTTTTTTAAAAAAAATTATCTTAAGTTGATCCGTATTTTTGATGATATGAAAATAAATGTAATATTTAGCCACAGTTGTGTAAAATCTTTCGAAAAATGACTGGATTCAGATCTAGCCTGACCCCAAAATTAAACACCTCTAAGTTGAGGCAATCTCAGACTCCCATGGTCATATTAAATCTTTAACTTTCAGCATGATTCTGCTAAACAGACAAAACGGATCCTCTTGTACAACTGAGTGGTTTCCAAATCTTCCACCTTGAGGCAGGTCCACACATGCTTTTATCTCACCCAAACACTTACTTTAATTCATTACTTTTTGGTTAATTTATTTTAAATAGTATATCTATAAATCATATGTTCTTACTGACACTCCATCAGACAGACTGGGGATGTTAACTCGGCCTTCAAACTTGGTGCACCCTTTGTTGGGTGCCGTTAAACGGCACTAACGTGGTACTAGGGGAGCTAAAGAGGAACTTAGAAACCAAACGTCCTTTCTGAAAGAAACTTTGCCTGTTACAAAAGAGCAGTGAAGACAAACAACAGGCAGAGCGACTGAGAAGGTGATGGACAACATCCTGCAAAGGAAAAAAAAAACGTTTGTAATGCTCAAAAGTGCTTTTATCTGACCATGCAAACAAAAAAGCATATCTTTCTAGCTGCTCAAGAGATTATTTTCTGCAGATATGGAAACTTGTGTACTCAGAGACTTTGGTTTGCCCTTTTGTGTGACATGGAAACAAAAAGGTTGAAATTCACTGAAATAATCTCATGTTAGCAGTGCAAATCATATACAGTACATTACCCCAGAGACCACACAATTCAGTTTAGCAAAAACAGATATGGTGACAATCACACACTGACTCTAATAAATTTGACTGGATTTATCAAATAAGTTAGAGTCATCAGATTCCTCAAACTCAGGAGGGATAGATGCTGAGACTGAGTTTCCCACCATTCATCAATAAAAATATTCTTGTTAGTCTGCACCGAACCAATTTAACTGCAAGAATGATTTGACTTTGAGCAGAAGTCATCTTATCAAGGTTGTTTTCTGCAGGTACTTATTAGCATCTTGTCTCTCTCGAATGTGTTTATTCAGCTCCAGGTGGGGCGGTACCTACAAAACAGACAATGCGCTCACACGTATTCAGTGTGTAATCATTTGGTGATGACACCCTCTCCTCTTTATGATAAAAATGACTCAACCAGATGGCGTGTGGGTTAAATAAAAGACAGAGAAACGGTAGGCATGAAGACGATGAAACTTTTGCTTCTGATGGAGGGATGTGTGTGTGTGTTTTAGCATGTGCACAGACATCATGAGGCTTTTTATTGGATCGCACCCTACAGTAGATGTTGGGAGACATAAATTTGGCAGAACATTTACAGGTTTAGCCTTTTATCTGCAGAGCTGCTGTTATTCTTCCTGACATGAAAGCTGCTAAAAGGAATACAAACCCAGAGCCCCTGTAGCCACTGCACTAGGTTTATGCTAATTAACCTAAATAATCATAAAACAGAGCAATTTTTCATGGTTCAACTCGGGATCTTCACGAAGGCTGGTTTTGGTTTATTTATGTCAAACTCCCTCCATGTTTATTTGGTTAAAATTTTATTTGAACGCCACACGATGAGGTTAATTATTTAAGCACTCAGTGCTTCAGAACATTCTGAGCAGCTACTCCAATGGAAACATACTATAATTCACAGCTTGATTATATGCTCCATATCCTGTGATTCTATGGCTTATGTGGCTTTTTCTACTTGATAATGTTATAAACACAGTGAAATAAAAACACAAATCTTTTAAAAGACTGGAGTGGAAGGAGTGGAAGGAGTATAGTATATTTGCTGTAAGAAAATTAGGAAAATCTGTATTTTCTGACATTCGTAATTGATGATATTCAATGAAAATATGCAACAGTAAAATGTTTTACTCTTGATTATGTTATTGCTAATATAACATCTAATCCTTTTACTGAATATTATATTTCTTATTTAAGTACCATGAGCTTCACAGACATATTGATACTTATTGGAAAATAAAGCACTTTGATTCAACATCATGTAACTACACGCTTCATCTGTGTTTAGTTTGCCGATTGCATCCATCGTCCTTCCCTGCTTTTATTCCCCCATGCAGTGTTTTTGTCATTAGCCAAAGACCCAAAGGCCTCAAAGAGGTGACCTAGACCTGAAGCACAGCATGGTCCTTCTGCTCTGGTCTGAATGCAGTTTCATTGATACTGGGCAACAGCAAGCAACAGCCAGAGTGTAATGGTACAAGATTGGTTTAAATGATTGGGTTACAGTTCCTGAAAGCCATCATTTTATTCTGATTCAGGTTAGTTTGGGCCTTTAAAACCAGGAATTAGAAAAAAAAACCTCATCCCAAAGAAATTCCCAGTGACATTTGTGTTTGATAAATTGAAGTCTACCCTTTAACATTTTGTCATGCGTCTCTTTTTATCTGCTTAGATGAGGAGGGTAGGTTTTCATTAGCCTTGACCCTTTACTGCCAAGTGTATTACATTTGCATACATTTTTAACCTCTTAGCTGTAGGCTGGTGGGGTATTGTTGTCACCCAGCTGGTGGGTGGGCGGGAAGTGTGGACACCCAAATTTGTGAATGCAATAACTCAAGAATGAGGTGAAGGGATGTCACCTGGAATTTTCAAATTCATGTGTCCATCTAGTAGGGGGCTGAGGGGTAGCCCTCAGGAATTTATACTGTTAGTACCATACAAACAAGCAATTAATAGCGCTGCAGATAGTAATTAATGGCTATCTCCAAGACCATCTTACAGGGTTCTTTGGGACGATTTTCAAAGCAGCTGCCAGTTTTATATCACTTGGTCCTGTTCCATGTTTTTGAATATGGTTCAGTAAAAAGGTTTTCCATCATCTTGATTTTTATTTGCAGGAAGAAAAAGCAAAACAGGGATAAACTGGCACTCGTGTAGCTCTTTTTTAGGTCACATCAACAGCGAGTGTAGAATCCCAATATACCCAACAAGCATGTCTTTGGGAGGAATCGCCACAAAGACACAGGCAGAGCATGCAAATTCCACACTGAACTTTCCACATCAGGGTTTAAACTCGGAATCTTCTTGCTGGAAGGCAACAGTACTACTCAGTAACCCACCATCACACCCAAATGTAAACCAGGTCCAGGTGGTAAGCAGACATTGTGTTGGTATAGCAAAACAAAAGCTTCTACTATTTAATGTACTACGTGGCGGTATATGTGCATTAAAATACTTCTCCTTTCAAATTTCTCCCTGCAGGATGCATTCACGGTGCATTCAATTCCATGAATGCTGGAAAAACCAGCATGCTCACAGACTCTACAGCTTGAGATCTCTCATCACGACCACATGACCTTCAGGTTTGTTTGTGCAAGCGGTCAGAAAGGGATTGGCTTAAAAATAGCAGCTGCAAAGGCATCTGCCTGGACACAAGATTTCTTTGAATGTGAAATCAGCCAAATTCAAATCAGGTAATGTTTATGATTTTATGGACATAGTGTCACGACTTTTTTTTTTTTATCACATCTCTTATATGAGAGAAAATAAAGAAAAACATAATAGTTCATTTAATTGTTCCTTAAGGACTATTCTTTCTAGCAGCTTCTGTTTGAATGGATATATTGGTGCGCTGACGTCTACCAGTCGATTGCTTTGATAATATGGCAAATAGGTATAATGTGAAGCCCCTGTTTGGACTGCACTTCCAGTTTGAACACAAAGAACTCTTTGGGGAAATACTGAAAAGTTCTCACTTTATTTTTAGTACAAAAACAATCAAACTAAAGCTGCAATTTCACACATTGGTGCCTCTAATACTTAGTGAGAGGTAATTGTTTGCAAACCATTTTAACTTCATTGACGTCAGCACTCGGCAGTTGTTGAAGAAAATGTCAGCAAACATACCCAGAGGGTTTAAGCAGCTTTTATAGCAAAAGACAAAAAAACTAAACAAAAACACAACAGACACAAAACATGTGACGCTGGCAAGTTCTGCTCTTAATGCAGTTTGCTCACTGCTGTTTGATTCATTGCTTCCTGTGAAGATTCCCCACCATGACTGCACTGACACCACAATTTAATTTGAGTAAGAAGGGTGGAGGTACAGCACGGCAGCAGTTAGTCAGAACGGGATTCTCTTTTCTGCTGCAGCTTGTCATTCGTGATTCAGGCTGGTGAGCTGGATTCACAAGTGCAGTAGGCAGGTTTATTTTTAGAAGCTTGTAATTATCTTTTGAGTGTTTATAGTTATGTCATATCAAACATAACATAAGATATATAGGGGTGGGATTCACCACACGATATCGGCAGATTGTCTCTGACTGTTTGCTGTCTGATGCTCTCCAGTTTATTTTCTTGTTGTGACTTTCTTCTTTTTTACAGCAAGCTAGTTCAGTTTTCTTCACATTACTGTCACTCATGTGATAAGAGCAACCACAAGGAGTCATGACACAGTCGCTCTAGTCAGTTAAACTGGTGAGATACAAACTAAAAATATCAGTATTTACTGTCAGTGAATCCAGAGTTTTATGGATAGATTCTACATCAGTATATGCCCCAAAATATGCTTTCATTGACTCCTTTGAAAATCATTTATTTTCCAAGTAATTTGTGACAAAATAACTAGCTGCCTTTCTATCCTATCATTCATACGAACTCAAACTCCACCATCTTGAACTGCAATAAGCACTAGTAGTCCTTGTTCTGCCCTGCATGAACCAGATCTCCACCTGCTCCCGGTTCTTCCAGTTTGAGCAGACCTCTAAAGCAGAACAAGG